CCGCCACCCCCTCCCCAGCAGCCGGGTGACCGAGCGCTGCTGGGTCCCGGCTGCCCCCGGGTGACGACGGCGGCCCCGGCGGAGCGCGGCCGGAGAGATGTCGCCTCACCGAGCTGGTGACGTCTCGGATCCACATTTCGTGTGTGCTGGGGCACGAGGGTGTGCAAGACTTGTCCTCCATCTAGGGGTCACAGAGACGGGTATTTTAAGTGATCATAAAGGGTTCCTCCAAGATCCTGTCTGCGCATGTTCGGTATCATTTTCTTTAAAGCAGCATTACCTGCTAGAACGGTGTTCTTTTGATACCATGGAACATCAGCTTCAGCACAGAACAGCTTTAACAAACAAATACAGCAAGTCACAGACCAGCAACCCAGCTGTTTTTACTGTAAACGTTTTCTTTCTCCCCTCCCTGTCAGATCATAACTGAATTTGTAACTAGTCTTACATTTGCGAAACAACCAACCAACCTCTATCACAACCTTTGTTGTTATACCCAATAACGGTGCCCCCTCTCCTCGCCCCCCCAACAGAACCCACACCATGCAAGCAGCTGCATTACAGATCAACCTCAGCTGCACCTGAAATATCTCAAACAAACCAGCTTCCCCAAAAACTGCCCTTTCTTCTGGGGAAACAGAACTTTATCAAGTTGACAGTTAAGGAAACTTAAGCCTTGGGCTGCAGCGGATCCCTCCCTTTCAAACCTGCACCATCTCTCACTACGACACACATCAGGCATTTCTACCCAGCACAGCTCAGTAGACTTCGTATTTCCCAACGTTACCTGCAGAAACAGCTCCTAATCCAAGTGCTACAGCAGCAAATCCTTTGTTACTTTTGCACGGCAGAAACATCTAGAGATGTCCCTTAATGTCTTAATCCTTCTTTTTCCAAAACAAAACCAAACTGATTTTCAGGGGTATTCCAAAGAGCTTTCAAGCAAGATAAATCTTTCAAGTAACTGCTCCCCATTAGTGATTTCTGCGTGGGGCGTGCTTTCTGAGCATAACAGGTAAGGTAGGAATTCATAGATCTCACAACAGGCACAGAAAGAAGCAAGCCTTTATCCTTGCAGATTGTACAGAATCAAGTACTGAAAGAACCGTTTACATGGAAGAGTAAAAGCATATAATCTGCCAAGTGCAGCATCGTTTCTGTCATAGGAAGGATGCCTTTCCCAGCACCGTGGATTCCTCCAGTTCCCTCAGCACTGGGCTTACAGGATTCTATTGCAGGAAAAATTGTCATTTAAAGACTAGTATCCAGTGTCTCAGTCAGGAAAACACTTCAGATAACATGGATCAGTAGTGGAAGACAGCCTGAAGTAAAAGCTGCTCAGACCCACCCCATCTGATATGGCTGTTTACTAGCCAAGAGCGTCTTGCTTTTACAGTAACCCGCTCTGAGAATGGCTCTCATCTAAAAGAAGCCTATTTGCTGCATTCTTCAGTTCAGAGCTTCTCCTTTCCAGCAGCATCCAAGATCCCTTCCTTTTACCTGTCCCCGCCCTTCTAAATACCATGTTCAAACATACACCCAGCTGGATCCCTCCTGCTCACTGCGACTTGATATTCTAAATGGGACAGTCTCTGTGCCTGCGTGTCAGTCCATTCAACTCTTAAAAAACAAATGCCATTCCTTCTGAAGTTTTTTACCATGCAAGTACTTCAGGAAGGCAGCTGCAGCTGCCATCAGACCGCAGCTTCAGCTTTTTGAATGACTTCTTCCATGCGCTGGTACCAAGGCGCAATCTTGGTGTGAACCATCATGTCGTCAAAGGCTTCCAGCCCTTCCATGACTCGGAGGACCCCATACACTGCCTGTGCCAGAGGATAAAGATTAGAACAACACAAAGAGTCAGCAGGGACAATGGCTTAGGGTACCAATGAGTGTCTGAATAGCCTTGCCAGTCAGGCTCTTTCCCTGTCCTACCATCTACTCCACCACTCTGATTAGCAAGGAAGACTGAATGGCAGAAAGGTAGTTAAGAATATGCATGTTTTTCCATGAGGAAACAGTAAGGAAAGATCAGGATCTATGTGCAATTATGGGGCAGAAGTTAATTCCATCTTTGCATGAAGCCCTGGTGTGAAATGCTTCACTTGCATTCCAAGGAGAACTGCTGGTGCAGGGGATGAATCCTGCTCCACTCTGCACTGCTGCCTGCAAAGGAAACCCCAGCAGCACTGAGTCTAATAAAACCTGTGCAGGTGTGAGGCTTTATTCACCAGCATTCATGAGATAGATCAGTGTCCTGGCTTGTAACCTGCTTTTATCATGCTTCCACATGATGAGTAACACCCACCTGTAGGTGGGAACCACAGGTTCCATCTTAGGAAACTTTTCTCTGGAAAATGGAAATGTAAGTCTCCTTCACGTGGGAATTGTATTACTGCACAAAGGACAGTGACAATATATCTCATGTAACTGACCTTCTCTGCCTATATTTGTATGAACCATTTCACACAGATGAGCAACTGGATGATTTGTAACACACCTAACAATAAATGCAGGAATTAACCCCTTACCAAGTCAGCAAGGTTCGGCTGGTTTCCACCCATGAACAGTCGATGTTTGCCAACTGCTTTTACCCACTCATTAACTGCTTCATACAAGTCTTCTCGGACATTGTCTTGAAGGTGATGTCTGGATAAAGAGAAGAACTAGTTTGAAGACACTAGTTTGTTTCTTCCTTTAACCTTTTATCATTTCTAATCTTATGGGCTGGTCTTTGCCTGGGAATTAGGGAGGTATTTGAGAGTGAAGGGGGCAGTTAGTGATTAAACAGTAGATGAGTAGAGGGGTTCAATTAAAGCCTCCAATTAAAGCTTTAAGTATGGCTGTTACTCACATAAGATTAAACGGTTTGGTCTAAAACACTGAGGTCCTGCCCTTTGACATCTGGGGTTCACAGCTAAGGAGGTTAAGGAGCTATTCCTCTTGTGTACTTGGTGTTCAGTGGTACCAACCTTTTCTTCAGCCTCTTGCTAACAAAGAACATGGCAAAAGCCCCCATGTACTTGGCAAAGAAACCTTCCACGGTGCCAAACTTCCCCTCACGGACAATGTAATCAAAAGATGCCAAGGCTTCTCTCGGGGTACGGTAAACATTGGGGGAGATGAGGTGAACAAGCCAATCGTCTGCCCATTTTCTCCACTTCATCTCTTCCCTGCAAGCATTCAAGAGAAAGAAATTTTTCAGTGAATGAGGTACAGATCGCAGGGTCACAGGAGGCAGGCAGAATCACAGTGGCACTAACCAGAGGTTCTGCCAAGGACAAATGTGCCAGAAACTCCTGCCCAGCCTTGTGCTCTGGTGACCTCTCTGAAATGCACTCAGGATCATTATCTTTGGCAAGGCTCCTCCAATCTCAAACTAAAATTAAGACTAAGATAGAGTACTAGCTTCTCCTCCCAGTACGAGAACTAAAGCAGAAAGGGAAACCAGCACTCCATAGCATTCCCCTGTGACATAAAGGGAAGGTCAAGAAGGAAACAAAGTAACTGAAGGCTAGCATCACCATGATGGTGGGAACTAGGCTGCCTAACAGCATTGTGTCAAATTATGCAAGAAACGCAGCAAAACGACTCTAACTACTGAGGTTCTAAACACTAATGGGGATGTGACAAGATTTGTCAGCACCAGCAGGATTTTGTATCTACATCATCCCTGAGAACATATGGAGGTGGCTAGAAAGCCTAGAAACTTAAGAGCACTTACACTCTCACTTCTTTGACAGGATAGATTCGCTTTGTCTCCTTCTCATCCAGCATGAGCCAGTATTTATTCCCATACTCAAATACCTCCTTGCCTTGCTCAGTCACAGTTTTCATAGGAGGATAGAAGGACACGATCTCTTCTAAGCTATTCCTCCTGTGGACAGAAACCCAGTTAGCACTGATCTGGCTGCCACAAAAATGAGCAAGAGCAAAGGACAGATTGAAAGATACACACTTTAAAATTTACTATTCTAAAAATAAGTGCACAAATTCTATTTGAAATAAGTTTTGAAAAGAGACTGGAACAGCTACTTGCAAGTAACTATTATTAGTATATATAACTTTGTCTATGTCAGAACAGAAATTTTTGCAGGCATAAAACTACCTACGATTCTCAAGTGCTTTGTAGCATGGACGTAAAGGACAGGTCATAGGTACAGCAAATATATCTCATTCTAGGTATTATAACTGGCTAAATGTAAGCTTAGTTCCAGGACTAACACTAGTCCATGTTTAAGTAGGTTTTGTGCAAAGAGAATCTCACAGCTGAAAAAAGAGTAGTTCTGAAAGGTAACATCACAACATATATAGGCCCCATCCACACCATCACAGCCAGGGTCAGGTCTGCTGGACCAAACACCCAGAGCTTCAGAGACCAAGGTCAGCAAAGTACTTATGACCGACTCTGATAGAGTCTTCTCAATCTCTGCTTTGCTAGGGCCATTCACATTCAGCTCTTCTCCTATCATCCCGTTTTCTTACTTGGAAATTAGATAGGTCTTTATTGCACTGATGATCACCGAAGAGTCATTCAATTGCTGAAAAACAGAATTAAAACAAACTTTTAAAAGAAGTTGGTGAAATTGAAAAGGAAATTCTTCAAAACCTTTTCCCCTGCATGCTGAGGCTCCAAGTTAGTACTGCAGTCCCTTTTCCCCCCATGCATTTCCACAGCAGTCCCTGCACATCTAAAGACAGCCCTACATTCAGATTTCTTCTGTGATTATTTTAGAGTATCACTTCAAATTTGTCTTTCATTTTGACAACAGAGGGCCTGAGGGTCAGGTACACATCCAATACTAGTGGGTTTGGATTTAGGCTCTTGGCAGCGAAGGAGGAAAGCAACACCAACATAAAAAAATAAGCCAACTTGAATCTTCAGTATTCTTGAGTTCTCCTTTTCCCATAAGATAAGCAGTTTCTATTACCACTGGTACAAATGATATGTCCTGCATAAGGATTGATAGAAGCTAGATAATCACTACGTTAGTCACTCCACAAACAACATGCCTTGTAAGAAAGGCCAGCAAAAAACTCTAATAAGGCCAAGACATAGAAAACCATGAAGCAAGAAACAAATCTTAGGCTCTTGAGAGACTAAAAGATGATCTAAAGATTACACTGCACGTGATAAACCACAGAGATGTGACAGAGACAAAGCATCCAAATCACTGCTTGTGGGGAAACATAGTAAGACTTACCACAGGGCTTCCAGCATTAGCTAGCAGGATAGGCACCTTTCTGTAGGAAGAAAATTTGATCTCTTTCCTCATTATCGGGTTCACTTCCACGATTTCATAGGGCAGTCCATGATAATCAAGAAAAGCTCGGACTTTGCTGCAGAAAGGACACGTTTTATACTGGTAGAGAGTGAGCTGCAGGCTCCCTGCAGGCAGCTGGGGAAGGAAGAGATCAGAAGCTTCCATTTGATACTAAAAATATAAATATTACCTTCCTTCCACCCTTACTTTCGTTGTGAAGTCATAGTCATTGACATTCAGTTTCAACATCTGATCATCACAATATCTTGGCTAACAGATACTTCAAATGGCATCTTAAATATTCACCTTCCACTGGAACCAAATATCTGTTTTTCTAAACATCTATTTAATCTGCTGGAAACTCCTACTCGCAGCCAGAAAAAAGAAGTTAAATCTAGACAGCTTATCCCTCTATACACAATTCTGAAACTAAAGAAAAACACAACCATATTTTAATCATCCTTAAATGAAAACCAAAATAGCCTCTTAAATCCAATTCCCCCCCCCCCAATAACCTCTGTTGAGGCCACAGGGTGGGGAGAGCAGAGAGCTTGCTGTTGATTTTAGGCATGTGTCTGCCCAAGTTCAGATTCCCAGGATGAACCAACCTGAGCACAACTAAGACAAGACAGGGAGAACTCAGGGCATCACAGAGAGCTAGGCATCAAGTAGGTGAGGGATGTTTTCCAACACTGCTATACTTCAGCGATCTGACAGGCCATGCCAATCATTAGTCATACATTATAAAACAAACGCAGCCATCTCACTTTGCTTCTCATTTGCAATTTATTGGGTTACACAACCCTCCGTCGGTGCTGGGAAAAAGCAACAACAGACAATGCTGCTTCCCATCCCCAGCAAGCTCTCGCTTTCTGACAGGCATTCCTTACAGCTCCTCAAAGGGAGTGCTGCCGGGGCCTCCTTTACACAATTTTATGCGGTTTCCTCACTGAAACCGGAGCAAAAGCAGCCGCTTGGTCCGCAGAGACGGAAGAAACCGCTCCGCGCCCTCCCTGAAGCTCTGTCTCCAGGGGCTCGGCGCCGCGGCCGGGCCCGGGCCTCGCCAGGGCTGGGGGGCGAGGGAAGGGCAAGCGCCCGGGGAAGCAGGCGGGGATAGAAACGGCAGGAGCCGCAGGGAGCGGCCGGGAGGGAAGGAGAGCGCAGCCCGCGGGCGGGGGGGGGAGCCGCCTCAGACGGCGAGCGGGGCCCGGCGGCGTGTTACCTCAGCGGCCGAGTGTTCCCGCAGGCGGTGCCGCGCCGCCAGGTAGAGGCCGGCGCCGCCGCCCAGCGCGAAGGCAGCGCCCAGCAGCAGGCGGCCCCC